GATGTGGATTGATAGTTGTTGTTATTATTATTATTATTATTATTATTATTATTATTGCCTATAGGTTTTTACCTTTTACTTGAAAGGTTTTCCTATTTTAGGCTTTAGGATTTTTAATATTTTATGTAATTTTACTTATTTTAGTTTTTATAGAATATGGAGTATTTATTAAGGTTTTCTAATTTATTTAGGATTTCTTAAAGATAAAGTTTGCATTAGAGTTAGGGATTGTACGGATGATTTTATGTAGTATAAATATTCAACTCATCATCATAATAATATTAGATTCTTTGCATCAAAGCTACAATTATTTCCTTTTTGTGAGATTATTCTCCGGGTGAGATTTACCCTAGCGCTTTCTTAGTGTTTCTTGACCGAGAATCAAGATCCTAAACCATCAACCGAGAATTGATTGGCTATACCCGGGGGTGGAGTTAGAAAAATGATTGAAGGGGGTCGAATTCATGAATCTAAGAGAATGACTATGAAAATTTTATCAGCTTCTTTTGTGTGGAGCATGCATCATAGCCATAGCTTCCGCAACATCCACATCAAAAGCACCCCTCACCTTTAAGCACTAAGAGACTACCACATCACTAAGATGATCCCGCATCACAGCTCCCAATCCCACGCATTTGTTGCTGAATATAGCCGCGTAGGAATAACTTTGATTATCCCCGCATTAGCTAGGAGAAGACCACTGATTCAGGTGAGGCTTGGCCGACCCATCGATACCGCTTGCCTCTACCACTTGCACATACTCTCCCACCAAACCCATGACCTTCTGAATAAGCTCACCAACATCTTTTTTTTCCCTTCGTACACCCAAGTGTTCTTCCTAAGCCAGATCCCCCAAAATGAGACTCCAAAAAATACTCCACCATTGGTGGTCTTTATGCTTACTTCTCACTAATGCACACCAAGTTCTAAAATTATTGCCTTAATACCTATCAACTTCCAAGCGCAAAGGGAAGAGACGCCAAACTAATTTTGCTTTATTGCAGAAAGTCAGCATATGAAGTGTCCTCACTTTTTTCCCCACATAAGCCACACATATTGTCAATGGTCATGCCTCGCTGTTGCAAATTTACTTGAGTAACAACACCATTTTTAAGTTTTTACAGCTCTCCACGCAAAATTCTTCACCTTTAGAGGAACATCCACACTCCAAAGAGAATTCCAGTCAAAGTATCATCATGGCGACCAAAAGTAGATGCCTTCTCACGCCATTCCTCAGTGACAGCATCTTATAGGCACTTTTAACAGTATATCTACCATCATTCGAGAAATTCCATACCCATCCATCTCTCTGATCAAATAGAGGGATAGGAATGGAGCGAATAGCTTCAACCTCCCTATCACTGAACAAAGCATTTAGAGCCTACATATTCAGTTTTTCGCCACCCATAAATCAAGCACCATATTGTACTCCTCATTCATAATTTCAGTCTCTGGCAGAATCTTGAAGTCAGGTAGATTGGGTATCCACGGGTCCTTCCTTATATCAGTTGTAGCTCCATCACTAATCAGTGTCCTTGCTCCCATTTCTACCACATAACGAGCTCCCAATATTGAGCGCAATGTGTAGCTCATATTCAGAGAATTTTTAGCCTCAAGAAAAGACGAGTTTGGGAAATATATCCCCTTGAGCACTTTTATCATTATTAAAGAGTCTTCGTTTGTCATGATCTTCCACACTTGCTTAGCAAGAAGAGCTTTATTAAAAGTTCTCATATTCCGGAAACCGAGACCTCCATGAGACTTAGGAGCATATAGTTTGTCCCAAGCCACCTAAATCATCTTCCTTTCATCCTTCCTCTGACCGCAAAAGAAATTCCTACACATTTTCTCAATCTCGTCAAGGATAGGCACCGACAAAGAAAAACATTGCATTGCATATGTAGGAATTGCTTGCGCGGTAGATTTGATCAAACTTCTCGGCCGGCTTGAGAAAGAAATTTCTCCTTCCACCCCTTCAGTTTTTTCCAGACCCGATCCTGAATAATCCAAAACACCTGTTTTTTCGAACCCCCAATGTAAGTCGGAAGCCCCAAATATTTCTCATGTCCTTCGACAGCCTTAAAAGCTAGCTTCATCTGAAGCGTATTTTTCCGTTCTTGTTCAATGTTTCAGCTGAAAGACACCTTGGACTTATCCATATTAAGTTTCTTCCCAAAAGCGACTTCGTAAGTAGAGAGAATTTCAAGCACATTATCAACTTCCTCCTTACTTGCATGAACAAATAAGAGACTGTCATCCGCAAAAAAGAGATGTGAAATAGGAGCAAGCCTCCTACCAATTTTAATACCATGGATGAGTCTTTTACTTTCTGCATCCCTCAATAGAATAAAGAGAACGGGGGATAAAGGATCCCCCGCCGAAGACCTCTACTAGGCTTGAAAATCCTAGAAGGTTGGCCATTTACCAAGACATCGAAAGAGGCAGAGCTAACGCATTTCATGACCATACTCACAAAAGTTCCCGGCACACTCAACTTAGTCATCATTTTCTCTAGAAAATCCCACTCCACCCTATCATAGGCTTTACTCATGTCAAGTTTAAGCCCAAGATAACCCTTTTTACCAGACTTCTTTTTCCGGAGATAATGAAAGCATTCATAAGCAACCAGAATATTTTCAGTAATTAATCTTTCCGGAACAAAACTACTTTGGGACTCATGAATAACATAAGGGAGTACTTTTTTTCAACATGTTAGCCAACACTTTGTAACAATTTTATACAGGGAATTACAGAGACTAATAGGTCTATAATCAACAGGAGACTCACAATTTTTTTTTTTCGGAATTCACACAATATGAGTCTGATTAATGGAACCTATATCACCATCATTATTCAAAATATCCAAGACTTTCTCAGTCACATCATTACCAACCATATCCTAAAATTTCTGAAAAAAAAGAGCAGGCATACCATCAGGGCCTGGGGCCTTAGTGGGGTGCATCCGGAAGAGACCGGCACGAACTTCCTCTGCATGGAAAGGAGCAGCAAGCGAACAATGTTGCCTTTCTGTAACTTTCGGCTCCACTTTATTGATCACACTTTTTGAATCGGTAAGGTTGCCCGTGGTAAAAAGCTCCTCGAAGTAGCTCACAAGAACTTCTAAAATCTCTTCTTTATCAATATATTCCTTTCCCGCGACATTCTTGATGATTTTGATACTATTTCTTTCTTTCCATTGCTCAGCCTTGGTGTGAAAAAAAGTGGTATTTTTGTCACCATTTTTCAACCAATCCTGCCTACTTCTTTGTCTCCAGTAAGCCTCTTCCCTACTCTCCAATTCATCCATCCGGTTGTCAAGAGCCCTCATTTGAGCAATAGTCTCATCATATTGATATTCACCCATCAAACACTTCATTCGAGCCCTAGAATCTTCCATCTCTCAAACAAATTCACCAAAATTTTCTCTACTCCAAGTACTAAGGCGACACATTAGAACTCAATCTAATTTAAATTGTTTTATGTTGATATTGTAAATCTAGCATTATCTTGGGATTGGATACCGTAAATCTAACATAAGTGTCAATACTTATCAATTGTGTGTTATATAAATAATTAATAACGTTAATTTATTTAAATATGAAATAATTACATTTTACACATTGATTCCAATAATTAATATTTCATACAAGAATGAATTCATGCACAAACTTACAAAAACTAAACCAAATAACAGAATAATAATGACTAATCCAAATATATTTATTTAGATCTTCACTAATGGCATCCTAATTGGGATAACAATGGTGCACGCACAACGTGCGTTGATTACTCGAGGGGTTATTGGGTCAGGGGTTACTTAAGGGGTTACTCGCGCGATCGATCGATTACTCAATAAGAAGTAACTCAAGTAACCCATGACCAAGTAACTTGAGTAAACTCAGAAACTCGAGTAACCCCGACAACTCGAGTAATCCCATACTGAGAAACTCGAGTAACCCTTGTTGCACTGTACAACGGCTGCATACCAAAATTTGTGATTTTTTAATGTAAAATATAGTTAGTGGGATATATTTATTTGTTCGTAGGAGAGACACATAATAAAAAAAATGTAAATAGGGTTGGTCAGAGAGAAATAATTAAACTGTTGTGGACTCTTACCAAAGAAAGTAGTGTTGCAATTATTATGAAATGGACTGTGGCAAAGGTTACCTGAGTTATTTTTTTAGGGGTTACCCGAGTTATTCAGTCAGGGGTTACTCAAGTTACTCGGTTAGGGTTACTTGAGGGGTTAAGACAAGGGTTATTCAAGGGGTTAACTCGGTCAAGGGTTACTTGAGGGGTTACTCGATTAGAGGTTACTTAAGGTGTTCCGACAGGGGTTCTTCGAGGGGTTTACTTGGTCAAGGATTACTTGATGGGTTACTTGGTCAGGGGTTAATCATATAAGGGTTACTCGGTCATGAGTTACTCGAGCTACTTGGTCAGTTGTTACTCGAGTTACTCGCTTAGTGGTTATTTAAGGAGTTCGGTCAGGGGTTGTTTGGGGGTTCAGTCAGGGGTTACTCAATCAGGGGTTACTTGAGGGGGAGGGGTTACTCGGTTAGGAGTTACTTGAGGGGTTTAGTCATGGATTACTCGAGGGGTTACTCGGTCAGAAGTTACTTGAGGAGTTACTTAATAAGGAGTAACTCAAGTAATTCCTGACCGAGTAACTTGAGTAATCGCGGTAACTCGAGTAACCCCTAACAGAGAAATAATTAACACAAAGCAAGACAAAGCTCTAACATGTGATCCAGTCCAAGCAATGGTATTAACTTTTCTAATTTTCTATACTCCATATCTATATATATAGACCTTACAAAACATGCAAAAGGAAATACTGTTCTTATGAACAGTGCACTGTGGTGCTATTACAAAGACACCCCTACATTTAATGAATTGCCGGATTTGCCCTTACTTAGCTTTGTGCATTTGCTTGCCATCTGTGGGAATACAGCTGTTCTTCAGGCCTTCCTTTGACTGCCAGCTAAGGTAGGTTGATACTTGGCTGCTCTTTCTCATTTCCTCAGCTTTCCTTTCACCTACTTCATTCGCTCTCTCTCAGAAACCTAGAGAGAGAAACCTTCGACACCTTCAGCAACCACCGATCATCCAATCAATGATGATTATGGGGCTTCGATTCTTTGTTGGGGTGAGATCTTTATCCTTTTTATAAGCGTCTAATATCAATTTAACAATCTAGGGTATAGCTATAATTTCATAGAAGTCCATTAATCCTTTTTTGTGCTATGTTTTTTTTGGTAATTCTTCTTAATTAATAATCTGAATTTTGATTGAAAAATCGAATGTAATTCTTCTTAATTAATTTTCTGAAATTCGATTGAAAAATCAAACTAATTATTGATGAAGAAGTGTTGATTTCGCCCTTTTGAAAAATCAGGAAAAACATGAAGCAGGCTTAATTATCAAATTTGTGCGAAAATAGAGAGTACCTGAAGAGTTTGATCGCAGTTGGACGGCGGCCGAGGACGGTTGAGTGGTTGACCATGAGCTCGTTGTAGCTCCGGTGACCGGAGTTGGGGGAGATGAAATATCAAAATTGATTTTTACTTTTTGGTCATAAATAGACCATTTTGTGTTAGATCTAAGTAAAGATATAATTTCTGGCTTTGCGAATTGGTTGATCTACTCTTCTTTGGTCGATCTAAGGTGGTTGTTTCTGAATTTGACAGAGGATCGATGAAGACACTTTGAATGCTTACAAAGCTGCTCAGGTTTGTGTGTTTTCTTGAATTTTTTTGTTTTTTTTCCATGGTTTTTAGGGTTTAGATGTTCAATTTTGCGGAGATCTGTCTAAATAAAAGTTTAATTCGATTTGTATTTGTTATTTTGAATTTATTCTCTGTTTTTGCTGCTCTATATTCTGAGATATGGAAGAATAACTGAGATTCGAGCTAACAATCGCTAAACGGGTGCTTAATGTTGTTTGTTAAGTTACTAAACATAGTATATTGGTCGAATGACTGAGATTTGATATTGGATTATGCATATATTTGATGCATTTTGTATAATTAAGAAAATTCCTGCAGTTTTATAGGAGTATTTTTTATGTATACTAAGATTCTGGCATTTAATAGGGGTTTGGATGTATTCTGGATATTTGTGTAAATTTTTGCAGTTTTAATAGGAATATATGGGTGTATTGTACGCAAATTCACATAGTGACGGTCATACATTGATCATAATCTCACACAATGCCAGCCCAATGGCATCGTGTCGTTGTCCATAATGAAATGTTGGGTGCCTATGTTGTTCAACAACTTGTGGAAAAGTATGTTTGTGTAACTTTAGGTGTATAATTTACTCCATTGTATATGTCTGTGATGTTATTAATCTGTTGGGGGATTGGTGCAGCTCTTCGGTTAATGTTGAGGGTGACATTGAAATTCGAGTTTACAATAAAGGCATCACTGGCGAAGTTGCGAGAATGCCAGAAATTTGCTTTGTGTTTACAATTATGGGTATGTCTTTTGTTATGCATTTATTTTTGTATTATCAGTTTGAAACACATCCTTTAATAGACTCCTATTTGGTTATTGTACTATCTTTCTTCTTTGCTTTACATTTATTTTATGTTGGTAAACTGGTTGTGCTTGGTTGGGTAGAAAATGAATATGTTGAACTCCCAAACCTGTACATATGTTTTGAAATACTGAAATAGTTGACTCAACTCAACCTATGATTATTCAACTCATATTTGTACTGTTAGTTTTAGAATTAAAATATACTTCGTAGAAAGTAATATATGGACCAAAATTTATGGAGTAAGCTATACGTAAAAAGCAAACATGTTATGGTAGTTTCTTAAAACCATGATCTATCTTTAACATTTGGTATAGCTTTTTTTGGCCAACTTTCACATTGACCCTTTATTGTGATTCAACTCAAATTAGCTTGGCCAACTTCCAACTTCGGGTTAAGCAACATTCTTAAATTCAACTCAATATTGTTTCAAAAAAAAAAATTAAAAAAAAAAAAAAAAAAAATTCAACTCAATATTTCTTATAATGCATATTTTTGTTGATTAAGAATCACTTTAATAAAGTAGTAATTGTACATATAACAAATCAAATTGTTATAAATATATCTACTCTAATGAACATTAAAGATAATTCGATTTATTACTGCACTAAACTAAGTCATGCTAGATATATGCCTGGGCACGCTAAAGATCTTGACATAATAGCAATTTGACAAATATGTTGAAATAAGATTAATAATATATCATTACTCCATCTATTTATATTTATATGTGATCCAATATAATGCTGCTGCATTTGTCAGTGGAAGATTATTGTAGATATGCCAAGAAGGTGTTTAGCTGTTCTACCCAAAGTGCGCCTCGACTGATCTCTTCGTGGATAAAACCTCCTGCAGGGCTCACCAAAATGCCTAGGATGCTCTTAACGACATTAAACTAATAAAATGTTGATGCACACATCACCACTCAATATGTAGGTTTTGATGCGGTTGCTCGGGATGAACATGGGCAGCTGTTGTGGGTTGCTGTTCGAAGGGTGGCTGCGCAATTAGAGGTGGAGTAAGCAGAAGCTGAAGCGGTGCGTTTTGGAATGCAAATTGCACATAGGTTGGGCATCTTGAACATCTGGATTGAAGGAGACTCTGCTAAGGTATTTCAGAAGATTGATAACAACTTCACAGGCTATTCTCCAATATTAATTTGCCTAATTCATGATGATATTAGGAGATGTCAAGTATGTTTAATGTTTTTATTTCGTCACATGTGAGAAGGGTAGGTAACTCGGTAGCCCATCTTGTAGCTCGGTGGGATACTCTTAATGTTTTGGAACTTGTTTGTATGAGTCCGTTTCCCCAAAGCATTATCTCTTTGGCGGAATTTGATTTATAATAATATATGCCTAACCTTTCAAGTAAAGCTTATAAAAGAGAAACAAATTTAGCTAAAGCTTCATTACCTTTTAATAATAGCAACTAACAAACTGTAATTTCTCAATTATATTCGACACTTTTTTTCTTCATTTCCCTCTTATTCTTACTTCTTTTACTACAATTTCTTCGAATTTTCTCAATTTTCTTGCAGAACAAACTTGTTCTTCATCATATTCTTCTGGGTTTTAGCTTTTTCTGGAGAATTTCCCGCTGGAAAGGTACAATTCTGCTCTATTTTACTTTGATATCTTAGAGTTTGATAATTGCTTCCTTTTTTTGGTGGGTGTTTGTTTTCGTGCAAATTTATGCATGGGTTCTTTCATTTAATTGTTTTCGTTTTTCCTTTACTAATTATTTCAAATTCTTAGTAATTTTGTCAATTTTTTATGTCATTTGATGAATATAATGATCTAACGTAGAATGGGTACTTAGATTTGTTGCTTAATTACTTTGTAAGTTGGAAAAGTTACCCACAATTAAGGAATGATAAAAAGAAAAAGGCTACATTTAATCGTTTGCTGTTAAATTATGGACAATTTTAATTTTCATCATTTTTTGTACAAGATTGATATTTTTGAAAATGGCAACTTCGAGGAACAAAACATGTTTTCCTTACTATTTTGATAAAAAATCTGAATTACAATCTGAACCAACTTCAGTCATTTAAACTCTTAAAATGACAAAACCATTAAACGCTAGATCAGCTGTGAGAATTAGGTTATATTTGCACCATTATTGTTAAATTCAGTTTGAAATTTATTTATTCTGTGTTCTTCTGTATGAGTGATGTATGAGTAATTGTTTCATGAAGATTGGTTGGGCTTCATTGTTTCTTCCTTTAAGGTTGTGTTCATTTCCCTATTTTTTCGTTGTATTTCTTGTACCTTGATTATGAGCGGTGCTTTAATTTTTATATATGCAGAAATGGAGGGTGGAAAATTATTTCAGAATTATGGGGTGGTTTTGATTCAATTTGGTAAAAAATTGGGATTATATTCCATGCGTTTTAAAGTCAGAGGCTTATTCATTTATTTATTTATCTATTTATCTAATTGATTATTTTCTTAATGGAGTTTGCTAGGGGTTTTCATTACTTGTAGACTATCGATTTTGCTACTAGATGGTTAAGATGCAAGTGAATCATTTTCAGGTAAAGTCTGCGACTTAAAATCAGTGCATGGCAGGGGTGATTGAAGTTAGTTATGTTAAATGTAGCATTGCATGCTCTAACAATACTAATCAAGTTCGTAAAATTCTAACATGCAGTTGCAATCTATATAGTGTTTTAATTCATTTTACTTGTAGTGGTTTGTGTTCAATAAACTACGAGATCATAAGACTTATACGCTCTATGCCCTGAATCTTCCCAATTTATCTTATGACAGGGGATAAAAGGTAGGATGTGGCTCCAAACCATGCTGCTTCTTCAGGGAAAGGTCCTCCTATCCTTGCTGTGGTAATCCTTCTTGACTCGCTACTATACTTGCTATGATGTGTGCTACTATGGGATTTGTAAAATATGTTTAGGTGTATGACTCTTATACACACAAAGTATTCGTTAGAACTGCAGTTCATGACTACCCTTCTGCATCAGGTTGGATTCCCCCCCCCCCCCCCTCTGAAGGTATTATCATGTTGAATGTTGATGCTAATTTGATCTCTGGGTCACATGTTGGGTTGGGCGTAGCTGTAAAAAACGAGCTTGCAATTGGGCAGTGTTTGCTTACTTTAGTTAAGAGGTATGAAGGGTTGTGGGAAGTAGAACAAACAACACACTTTTTCTTAAACCACTTTTAATGGTTTTCTCTTATATATCAACTTTAACTTTATAAAGTTTGCCTTTGAATTATTTTTTCAATAGAAATGGTTTCATGTTTTAATTTAGGGAAAATATGGAACACAGCAAACCTACAACTGTACTGAAACCCTAAGGTTTTAACTTTGTATAGATAAATCTGGGAGAGAGTTTTGCTGGTTAGATGTCTCTGCAATGGTCACACTGTAAACACTCATTTTTTTCATCCTTGTTAGAATTCAAGAGGTAATCTTGGGTTCTTGTGTGCAAATGTGAGGAGCTTTTCCAAGGTCTTTTTTTTCCCTTCGTGTTATGGTGGTGTGTGGGATTGCTGTGTGGTGCTTGTGAGTTAGTTGTTGTGGTGTGATTGTTCTTGTGTTCTTCTCGGGTATCATTGTTTTGTGCTTGTTGCTGCTGCAAGGTTGGTTGTTTTGTTTGGGGATCCTTTAGCTTCATTTCTAAATTGAGTACTTGTGTGTGTGTTCTTGATATATGGATAACTAATTCAATGGCTCTTACTTAGAAACTTGCTACTAAGGTATCTCTTCATTCACATGGTTTCCTTTATTTAGTTGTTCAGTTTAAAATTGAGAATTTCTCAATTCAATTCGATAAGAAATCGGGGGCTTCTGATTTAGTTGAGTTTGTTTAAAATTGAGGGGTTTTCTCAAATCAATTGAAATCGTTTTAAAATTGTAGTTTTCCAGTTTAAATCAATTAGTTCATTATTTTGGGGTAGTTTTGATGCAATTTGGTAAAAAAAAAATAGGGATTTGATTTCTCTGCATTCTAAAGTTAGGCCTTTATTTATTTATTTGGTTAAGATTGTTAAATGTCTAATTGATTATTTTCTTAATGAAGGTTGTTAGAAAATTAGCTCTGACTAGCAGAGGAGTCAAGAACCCACGCATTACCGTCTTGAAACTGTTACTCTTCAGTAAATTTTCATGTAAAAAAGACGACTCCAATAATTGTTTACTAAAAGATTTAATGATTTCAAAATTGAGCTAATTGTTTTAAATTATCTTCAATGATTACACCTTTATAAGACGCTCTTGATCCAAAATGGACAGCCATGTATTATTTTATTATAAGAAGTAAATTATAAGCAGAGTGCTCAACGATCCATTTAATTTCTGTTACATGTAATTGTGAACTTGTAATCCTGTATTATACTACCTATATTATACTATTACATATTAGACTTTATGCTTTTGATTAGGGATCAATAAATGTCTGTTAATAGATAAAGCAGTGAGGTATGCTTGCAAAAACAAGAAAACTATCTGAAGTTATATGATGCCACTACAAGTGTGATATCAAGAATTCCTTATTTTCAACTGAAATATTTGGTTTTGATTAATTGGAGTTCTGGTCTAACTCTTTCAGGTTAATACTCTTAAGGTAGCAACTGCAGCTCATTGCATCAAGCATATAGCGATGATAATTATGACTTCAAATGCAACAAATCGCTTTTCTTTATCTTGTCGTTCAGGCAAAACAAAAAGTGAGCTTCACAAGTGTTTAGACTGTTTACTGATATATAGTACGGAGTAATGATATTGAGCTTCGTAGCTTTTTGGCTTGTTACTTTTTTACACATTTTTAATCCATTTTTAATATCGAGAATTTTCTTAGTAGGCCCGGAATTCTATATTCTTTGTAAATTATCTTCTGATCGTGTGTTTGATATGATATAGCTTGATTTGATTATCGTCAAACTGGCGAGTTAATATGTTCTTTTGGATACATGTATAATCTAAGAATACGATCAATTTGTTTTGTTCAGGATAATTTGGAGTGGAAGTTTTTGCAGTCAAATTGTTAGCTGGTTGTACATTAAGATCTTTTTTTTTTCAATAACTGTACATTAAGCTTTTAAAGGTGAAAACATCCTATTTTCTGGGTTATTAAGGAGTATTGTAAGATGGGTAATTTTTAAACGCATCACTTTTACTTATATTACCCTAAATAACACTAGCCTCTTTACTCAATAGGCAGAGCATTATGCAAATTTACTCTTAAACTCCACAATTTTATTTATCCGTTATGTGTCTGTCAAACTACTTTATATGCTTTGGATATAGGAAGAAGTCCAATCAATTTCTTAATGTGTTTCACTTTGGAGATTGTATGCATAGATACCAGTATATATTTACATCGTTATATGTACTTTTGATATTTTAGATATAGAGAGAGAGAGGAAATGAAAAAAGTAAGGAGAAACTTTTTAGGTGTAATTAAGGAGATGAAAATAGGTTTTAGAAACTTTCAAAACTACTCAAAATTATGGACCATAAATAAAAGAAAATGAAAGTTAAAGGGATAGAGAAACAGAGTGACCAAGAAAGAAGGAATAGAAATCGACAATTAGAATTGGACAAACTTCAAATCTTTCACTAAATGATATTCGTTAACAAATGTGGTTTTGTGATAATTATGGAAATGTTAACTAATTTGTAGCACTTTTAGAATTAAACGTTTAACCTTATAGTAGAATTGAGCTAGATTCACAAGTAAATGTATTTTTAAATGTTTATATAATCATAGTAATAGATAGATTTTAAGAGATAAAATGAAGAAGGATGGAGGGAGGAGAAGAGAGGAAGAGAAAGAGGGAGTGGGAGGAGGAAGAGAGAGAGAAGAAAAAAGGGAGAGAGTGGGAGGAGGAGTGAGAGAGAGATGAACTAGGGAAGGAGTTGGAGAAGAGAAAGAAATGGTGGGAGGGAGTTGGACGAGAGAGAGGTGTGAGAAAGAGAGAGAGAAGGGTCGGGATAGAGAAGAGAAAGAGAGATAAATAGATAGAGATGAGCCAAGAGGAGAGGAAGAGAAAGAGAGAGGCTGGGAGAAAAAAGAGATAAGGGCCGAAAGACAAAGAAATAGAGCAATTAAGAGAACGAAGGGCAAGGAGAGAGATAAAGTGATAAAAAGATTAGATGATTCGTGAAAGAGGGAGGAGTCAGGATTGAATAAGAGAAAGAGGGAGAGAGATAGAGATAAGCCAAGAGGAGAGGGAGGGAGAGAGATAGAGGCTGGGAGAAAAAAAAAAAGAGATAAGGGCCGAAAGAGAAAGAAATAGAACAATTAAGAGAAAGAAGGGCAAGGAGAGAGAGTGGAGTGGTAAAGAAATAGATGAGTCGGGAAAGAGGGAGGAGCCAGGATAGAATAAGAGAAAAAGAAATAGAGCAATTAAGAGAAAGAAATAGAATAAGAGAGAAAGAAATAGAGCAATTAAGAGAAAGAAATAGAATAAGAGAGAGAGGGAAAGAGAAAGAGACAGAGAGATAGAGATGAGCCAAGAGGAGAGGGAGAAGGAGAGAGGCTGGGAAAAAAAAAGAGATAAGGGCCGGAAGATAAAGAAATAGAGTTATTAAGAGAAAGAAGGGCAAGGAGAAAGAGATAGAGTGATAAAGAAATAGATGAGTCAGGAAAGAAGGAGGATTCAGGATAGAATAAGAGAGAGAGGGAGGCTTACTTAACCGTTCAAACCATACAAGAAGAGTAATTAGATTGGAGAAAAAAAAGGAACATATGGTGAAAGTAAGCAAGAAAGAATAGAAAAGGGAAATGAGATAAGAAGAGGAAGAAATATAACAGAGAGGGTTCATATGAAGGAAGAAGAGATAGGAAGAACTTAAAATCAAATTAGTGACTACCACACAAATAAGATCCCCTAATCATCATGTTAATAAACACCCCAAACTACGAAACATGATCAAAATTCCACAAATCTTACATATCATATCGTGGTGGGGGGAGGGGGGGGGGGGAATCACGTAGTGTGTGCTCCAATGACTATAATCTTAAATATAAAAGTGTAAAGATATTCCCTCCAGCCGTATTTAAAAAAAAATCGTACATCAAATAATTTATAGATAAATGACCAGCAAAAAAACTTTCTCATTCATTTTATACCTTCCGTATAGATTACAAAATCTAATTAATATAATTTTTCAATAGAAGAACCACTCGAAAAGTTTCCACTTTAAAAAGTCTAACAAACTAATATATCATTAGTATTGCATTTTTTTTATTACTACTCTTTATTATCACAATCATTTTAAAATGAAGCTATTCAAAAATAATATCCAAAACAATACTATAATTTTCTAAAAATCTTTAAGTTATAACAAAATCTAGATAACTTCACTTATAATAATAATAATTGTTTTTCCATAGATATTTCCCCATAGAAACTTTATCGATCACTACTAATTATTAGTACTTACAAATTCATGTATCGTTATTATTACAAAACCCGAATACAACCACGAATTTTACTTATCTTGCCGTTGGGGGGCACGCGCAACGCGCGTGCTCCAACGACTAGTCAACATAAGTGTCAGTGCTTATCAAATGTTTGTGAAATAAATAATTGCTAACATTAATATATTTCGATATGAAGTAACACTCATTCCAATAATTATATTTCATACAACTACGACATGAACAAAATAACAAAACTTTACCAAATAGATTTATATTCACTAATAGCTTCCTAATTTAGATTAATAAAATGATGTTGAATTCAAGCACAAAATTATAATAACTAATCCACATATATTTATATAGTACATCCTAATTTGGATTAACAAAACGGTGCGCGCCAACGCGCGCGTGCACAAAAACTAGTGAAATTTATTACAATATCAAATTCCAAACCCATACCACTCTAAATTCATTCCTTATTTCAAACCGATTAGTGGTCTCATTTTTTGTATTTAGTAACGTGTCAAATATTATAAAATGGTCAAATGGATGAAAATATTGTATAATGTGTCAAGTAAGGAAGTATAAGACAAATAATTTATAATGTGACCTTTGTCAAGGTTGATCCTCCCCCGCGCTCTCATTCTCGGTGTCCCTTATTGTCTCGCTGCTCACTCTCTATTTCCTCGCCGGAAAAAGGCCAACGACCACTGTTCCGCGGCCAGGTAGCCGCCTCTCTCTCCTTCTCTTTCTCTTGTTTCTTCCGCCGTTGCCGCCGCCTGGTCTCCGGTGGTGTCAGTGGCGGCTCCTCCCCTTCCTCTTCATAAATTATGATGCTACATTTTATATTTTCCCTAATTTACATGCTTTTCATTCTATTTTCCTGTTCAATTATATCCTAAACAATTTATTTCAAATTATACTTGGAATTCTGTTATACTTTTCAACTTTAATCTACGAAGCTATACGAATATGCCCGTTTTTTATTTTTATTTTTTATAACTTTTTAAATTGGTTTATACAAGGTTTTGTTTAATGAGATTAGGTTATTTATGAAACTTGATCATATGATATAAGTAGTTCATGCTGTATAAAATCAATCCCCTAAAAAATGTATTCGGTAGTGTACAATTTCAAGTTAATTTACTCAGAAATTGGGTGTCTTTTTATAGGTGACTGATTCGGGCATCGCATTTGGCAGCATTTTCATGTAATTTTGTTGATTGGTGTGGCAAACGACATGGATTTGAATAAAGATGGTTTCTTGAGTGATGAAGCTCAGAACAGTAGCACTTTCTGTCAATTAAAATCTTGTTGTTTGGAGTTGCTTGACCTTCTGCAAAACCCCAAGAAGCAATCACCTGCTGTTTCTCAATTGCTTGCCCTTCTTCGCTCTTTGACTTCCGAGGACGTCGAACCTTTTTTTGAGTATGTTGTCCTGCTTTCGTGTTATTGCGTTTTTGTTTATTGGAATTAAGGCTTCATATTGCTGTTGCTGTTACTGTTGCTAATCCGAACAAATGCAATTTTTCATTATGTAAAGGTTTATTTGAATACTGTAAGAAGGAATAAAACGATGATTGATTTTAAACAGTTATATTGATGATTCAACGTTTATTTGTAATGCTTCAAATTTCCTATTGTGTGCTAGTTTCATACTCACTATGTCCGTTATTGTTTGCTCCGTTTTTCTTTTAAGGCCGTCCCTAAAATATTGTTTCTTTTCCATCTCAACAAAAAATTAACAAAGTAATCAAATCTTGAGGGCAAACAATTGGGGCAGAGGGCGTATTGCCATATTCATCACAAATTATACTTGTTTTTGTGATTAATTTGTTTACTTTGATTCTAATTTTAACCTCTATTTTTCTTTCAGCTATATCTTGTTTCCATTGCTGCTTCTAATGGATGCAGCAGTAGATTGCAGATCTGTTCAAAAACGTAATTGTGATGGAAAATCAGAAATGCTCTTTGACCATCAAACCCTTAAAGTGAGTGATGCTGTTTCAGAAGGCGTGCTTCAATGTTTGGAGGAGCTTTTTACCAAATGTCGTTTAGTTTCTGTAAATCAGGTTTGTGGATTCTTTTTAACACTTTTATTCATACCATAGTCCATAGAGCAACCTTCTATCTTGTGACATTTCCGTATATCTTCACCTTTCCTTTGCCCGCCAAAAATGTATTATCTGTTTTGCATGCCATCAGGGGGTTGTTGTAAACTGCATTTTGTTATACATGTCTTTTCAGCAATGTTTTTGGGATTTAGTTTAGTCCTTATGTTCTTAGCTTCAGGTCGTTTTCGGGTGGGAGACAATATTTATAAGTACAGTTAAGATAATTTGTTGAAAACTTGAAATTTTGAGTTTAATGCGCAAAGCACGCTTGAATCTTTGAAATTACCTAGATTACTCCTAATCTAAGTTTTTTCACTCCTGAATCCTGAGTTTCAGTTTAATGGTTGTTAGTATAAGAATCTTGATTGACTATGCAAGAGCACAGAACTGTATAAACTCAGTCAAACCGGCTGTGAGGCTAGGTAAAATTAGCTCACTACTAGACCCCTAATTCCCAAATGAATTAAAAAAGCTAACGCATTCCCGGGTTAGGAAAAT